CACACTTTATAAACACAAACACTCACTTTATAAACACACACGTTATAAACAAACACTCGCTTTATAAACACAAACACACTTTATAAACAAACACACACTACAAACACAAACAAACACACACTTTATAAACACAAACACTCACACACTAAACACAAACACACTTTATAAACAAACACACACTACAAACACAAACAAACACACACTTTATAAACACAAACACACACTAAACACAAACACACTTTATAAACAAACACACACTACAAACACACACAAACACACACTTTATAATCACAAACACACACTATACACAAACAAGACACTCTACAATCACAAACACACTGTACAAATACAAACACACAATTTATAATTACAAACACACTTTATAAACACAAACACACTCTACAGTCACAAACACAAAGTATAAACATACACAAATGATGCTGTGTCACTATTTTTTGTGTTTTTATTGTCCGGTAACCGTGGCGGCCATCTTGACTCGACTCCAGAAAGTTAAAACACAACTTCCTGTGTCAACTTTCACTTTAATCTCCTCTGACCTGCTGAACAAACACACACCTGTCAGGTGGCAGCACTCTTCATCAGACAGGCAGACAGCAGCACCAAACCAGAGCTGCAGCAGTGACACAGGTGTGTAAATTAAAATCACTGAATTATTCTGTTTTTCTTCTTAAAACAAACAAACAAACAAACAAACAAACAAACAAACAAACAAACTCTTCTTCTCCACCTGTAGAGCTGCCCCAGACACGTGACTCAATGCGGAAGTGGAAACGGAGTTGTCAACAGCTGAGCAGCTTCAGAGATCGTCTATATAAAGATGACTCACTCCGCGGGTTTCAGAAAACTGATCAGCAAAGGTTGATGACGCCAATAAATCGAAAATGAAATTGATCTGTGAATGCTGAGTCAGCACAAACACTGTTGGTTTCCTGTTTTTATTACTCCTGAAGACGTTGTGCTTTTATAGCTGTTTATCATGTAGAAACATTCAGCTGTTTTAGGAGAATTGTCCTTTATTTACAAATATTTTCACCCTGTAAAACATTGAGATTCTTTCAGTTTCACCCACTTGATCTGTTGTTGTCTTCTTATGCTACTTGTAGCATTTAGTTACTATTTTTATGGTCAGCTTTTAGCTAGCATTCTGATACTTTTAGCTTTCAGCTACTGTTTTGCTTCTTTACGAATTTAAGAAGGTTTTAGCTGTTATTTATTAGGTTTTGCTTTTAGCTGATTCTTTTCCTAGCCAGCCCAATGATAATTTTGGCTTGGTTTTTATTTTGTTCTTTTGTACTTTTAGTTAGGGCTTTGCTTCTTTGAGCATTTAAGTAGGTTATTTATTTAATTTTTTATTTTATTATTATTTTTACTACTTCTTTAGCTGTTATGCGATACTTTTAGCTTGCCTTCTGATACTTTTAGCTTCTAGGCTACTTTTTGTGTAGCATTTTTCTATTTTTAGCTTCTATTCTGCTACTTTTAGCACACTGCTAGCTTTTAGCTTGCCTTCTGATACTTTTAGCTTCTAGGCTACTTTTTGTGTAGCATTTTTCTATTTTTAGCTTCTATTCTGCTACTTTTAGCACACTGCTAGCTTTTAGCTTGCCATCTGATACTTTTAGCCACTGGTCAGCCTTTTAATAATTTAAGCCTTTTAATGTTTTTAGCTTTTAGTCAGCCTTTTACCACTTTTAGCTAGCATTTTTCTGTTCTTAGCTTCTAGCTACTATTTTTTTAACCTTTTATCCAGAACTATGCTACTATAGCTTTCAGTCAGCCTTTTGTTGGATTGAACTTATTGTTACATTGTTAGCATTTTTGCTAATTTTGGTTTTTACCGTGTTGTTTTTTGTTTGTTTTCTTTAGATAATTCAGTTTCATTTTAAATAAATTTATCAGTTTTTCAGCTTTCACCTTTTTACAGAACAGTAAACTTTTAATTATGTAATTTTATTAGACTGCTTTTAGCCACCATTTCGCTGTTAACTGTTATGGTGTAGTTTTTTATGTTTAACATTTCTTTTATGGTTTTATAAATGTATTATTTTTGTTTTAGTGACCTGTCTTGTTAAACTACGTGGTGCAGTCGGTGAGCTGAAACAGCCTCTGTCCGCTCCGCCACTCTCTGCTCAGGCAGCAGCGGGTTTGTGAAAACGTGTCAGAGTGAGGCATCTCGCGCCTCTCCCTCTCTTAGCGCGGCTAGCAGCGGAGCTAACGGTGGCGGTGATGGCGGAGCTGCTGCAGGGACAGGCCTCGATGAACCAGCCGGGGCTCCAGTCAGACGGCCTGGTCGATGTTTTACAGAGGGCCCGGCAGGTAACAACTCCGCCGGGGCTCAGTACACAGCCTTTCCGGGCTGAGCCGGTCCGTTTGGACCGAGTCGAAGCACTTTTATCCGTGTTGTTCTGTTGCTGTTTCCGAACTTCTGCTCCGTCAACACTCACTGCAATCACTCACACACTTAGCATGCTAACTAGCTCCTGGAGCAGCTCGGAGTTGGACTTGTGGCCGGTTCGGGTCACTTTACCGGGGCTGACACGGTGTGGGAGTTAGTTTGCGGGGAGTTTGTGGAGCTGTCAGCCGGGGGGAAGCGCAGGGGACCCGGGGTGGAAGTGAAGCGGGGACAGGGACTCAAGTTTTGGCCACACGTGTCAGTGAGGCTGCGGGCAACCTGTTGGTCCTGAGCGGCTGGAAGTCGGTGGAAAGCTGCTTATCAGTGCGCTGCACGAGCCCGGGGTGGTGGGGGGTCCTGATCAGGCCGGGGAGGGGGGTCCTGACTGGTACCAGGAGAACTGGACCCCCTTCCCCCTCTCCCCCTCCTTGCAGGCTGCTGTTTACTGTAAGTTGGTTAAAAGTAGGCTGACGTTATGCAACAGAGGCGGAGGTGTGTCTGCCTCAAAGCTGACCCCCCACCTGAGCTCAGGTGTGTCCCCCACTCCCACCTGAGCTCAGGTGTGTCCCCCACTCCCACCTGAGCTCAGGTGTGTCCCCCACTCCCACCTGAGCTCAGGTGTGTCCCCCATATCGGGGGGCCTTTTGTAAAGTTACACAGTCAAAAATTACCACCAATATTTTTGTTTTATTTAGACTTTTATAAGAAAAAAGAACAGATTTATTTTTCAAAGTCAGTTTTTCACCATATGATTCATACATTTATAAATGTCATAATTTATAAACTAAATATTTAACTTGTGACTTAAATATTTAGCTAGCTTAAATATTTTTGGTAGCTAGCTAAATATTTAAGTTTCAAGCTAAATATTTAGCTCAAAACTAAATATTTAAAGTCACAAGTTAAATATTTAGTTTATAAACTATGACATTTATAAATGT